TGTAGGATGTATTAGTCATATTAATTTCTTAATTTCCTTCATTATACCTATGAACTTTATTTCATATATGCTTTATATGATAATATTATCATATGAAAGTTTGACTTCTTAGCAATCAAAGTAAGATAAGAAGGTAAATAAAAATTTTTATCTCTTTTTTCTTTTTGTTTCCTTGTCTGGTGTTTATTTGTATTATTGCTGAGCTTCAGGTTGCCATAGATGTATTTTAATATTTGGTAGATGGAAGTAATCACAGCATTAGGGACTCTTTGCTTAGCTTATAGCTCAATTACTGTAAAGTAGCTAAAATGAATTGTGTAATAAAGCTACAAGTGTACTAAAGGTGTATTGAAAAACTCATAAAATATAAACCTGTGGGTTTTGCCTAGAATTATCTCCAAATTTCTCAAATATTCTGAAATACAAGTTTCAGAGATTTCATGTAGATAAAAGCTCAAATCAGTGAGATGGGTTTAGCACAACTTGTTTCAGAAATACAAAATTTGTTATTATGAGGCAGATGATTTCAGGGAAAGGACAAAAGATTCTAAATATTGCAGGATGAAGATTTAGTAAAATCCTATCATAGCAGCAGTATTTACAGAAATTATCAGTGCAATGCATTTCAGAGCTGTGAAATAAAGGCTGTTCTGTATATAGTAAATGAAATGAGACAGATACTTCAGAAAGGATGCAGAACAATTCCCTGACAAGCAAATCAGAAAGGTTTCTTGAAAGAATCAGTGTAAAACACTGAGCACTTCCTTGATTTTAGTTCATTATTCAGGTCAGTATGCAGGTCTTGATTCAGGTCCATTATTCCCATAAATTCTGTCTTTCAAAAGCTGATCAGAGCTTATTCTTTGCTTAAAACAGAAACTTAAAGCTGAGCTTAGCTGCTCTACTCCAATACACTTTCTCTGTGAATTTTAATAGATAAATTATTTAATATTTTAAAAAAATTTAAAGTGTTTACTTGGTAAACAATAGACAAAATTCAAAATATGCCCTGTTGACTTTACTTATCTATCACAGTTTCTTCAGTTCACATGAAAGAGTGCTTTTCTCTGATTTTTTTTTATTGTATGAAATTAAATAAGCAAGGAATATAAAGGGAACATATGAAGAAGCGTGAGTCTATAGTGTAATGGTAACAAGGTCTGCATTCTAGTTTTTTTTACCCAGACTTTTTCTGCATGTTTACACTGAAACAACCATCAATACACTCTTAATTCTAAATAACTTACATTTGCCTTCTGACATGTTTTATTAGTAAGCATTGATATGGACAGCCATAAAGTCTATGTGAAAGACTTGCCAGTATACAGGTGTCACAGAAGGTTTCTGCTGTTTTGTTTGGTTTTGATATTGTAGTGCAGACTGATATAGCTGTGGCTGCAAAACTTTGTAATATAAACCAAGCCTCAGGCTCTCAGACTGCAGCTGACCCGGTATAATGTTGTATTGCAGTCATTTGACATTTAGAAAACTTTCTTCACAATTCTTGGGTCTAGAAACTTTGTGGTCGCTCTACAGGTGTGTCTGTGATATTACAAGCTCTAGGCATAGCCTAGGGCTACTTTTAACCTCCCGTCTAAATTCAACACTTTTCAGTAAGACTCTTCCCATCATACATCCAATAAAAGGTTCAACCAACCACTGAGATACTTCGCTTAGACAGTTTACCAGTATGTTCAAACCTTTACAACACTAATTCCTTGAACATACTTCCAAAACATCTGGTGTCCTTTCTGCTTCAATTCCATATTTCTCCCTTTGTGTCGCAAGGAAGCTGTATATGTTATTTTAGATTATAATTTCAATTCATTACAGCTTTGGAAGATTTATAATGTTACTTTATTTTTTTTTACCCAGCAAAGCAGAAATAAAATTTCTAAGTATTTGGGTGAAATGTAGTCATGGTAAGACAGCTCTTCATGTATCTCTTTTTCTTTCCTCATATACCCACAACCATCAGAAGTGTCCAGAAAGCATTAGACTTTCAAAAAATCCACAGATGAAATTAAACCCATGAAGAAGTATGTTTTAATTCTGATACAATCAAACATATGCTTGCCAATTTTAGTCTGTGTACCCTGTATTAAAAATATGCAGTTATGGACCTTCTTTTATCCATCTATCCATCTATCCATCTATCCTGATCTTCTCTAGATAGAACAATTAAGTTAAATATTTTTTATGATTCTTTGTTGAATGATGTGTTGTTTGGTATATACCCAGGATAAAATTATTATTCTGTAACTTTCACGTTTATGTGCATAGTCAATATGTCTCTGTAAGGAGATGTCTCACTAAGTCCTATGAAAACTTTCATTTGTAGGATTATAGTTTTGAATGCATGCTAAAATACATTTTATGGTGTCAAAACTTATTCTTGGATCCAAATGATTGTATTTTTTCCATAGGTCTCTGCCTTTGAAAAGTAGATCCTGAGAACTACAGGTCTGTCACGCTGACCTCAGTTTCAGGGAAGGTCATGAAGTTGATCACTTTGAGTGCTGTCATGTGGCGTGAGCAGGACAACCAGGGTAGCAGGCCCAACCAGCACAGGCTTATGAAAAGCATGTCCTGCTTGACTAACTTTACCTCCTCCTAATGACAAGGTGACTTACTTATTGGATGAGGAAAAGGTTGTGGTGTCTACCTGGACTTTAATAAAACCTTTGACAATGTTTCCCACAGTATTCTTCTGGGGAAACTGGCAACCCGTGGCTTGGACAGGTGTACCCTTTGCTGGTTAAAAAACTGGCCAGACCCCCTGAGTGGTGGTGAATGGAGTTAAATCCAGCTGGTGACTGGTTACCACTGATTTTCCATAGGGCTCAGTATTGTTGTCCATCCTGTTTTATAGCTTTATCAGTGATCTGGACATAGGCATCCAGTGTACCCTCTGTAAGTTTGCAGATGACACCAAGTTGGGTAGGAGTGTAGATCTACTGGAGGACAAAAAGGTTTTGCAAAGGGATGTGGAAAGGCTGGGTCGATGGGTGAGGTCAGTTGTTTTAGGTTCAATAAGGCCAAGTGCCAAGTCCTGCATTTCAGTCACAAGAACCCCATGCACCACTACAGGCTTGCAGAATAGGGCTCAGAAAGCTGTGCAGTGGAAAAGGACCTGAGGATACTGGTTGACAGCCAGCTGAACAGGAGCCAGAGGTGTGCCCAGGTGGCAAGAAGGTCAATGGCATTTTGGATTTTATCAGAAATAGTGTGGACAGCAGGACCAAGGAAGTGATTGTGCCTCTGCACTCAGGACTGGTGAGGCCACATATCAGATCCTGCATTCAGTTTTGGGTCCCTCAGTACAAGAAAGATATTGAGGTGCTGGAGCCCATCCAGTGAAGGACAACAAAGCTGGTTAAGGGTTTGGAGCCAAAGTCTTATGAGGAATTGGGACTATATAGCCTGGAGAAGAAAAGGCTGAGGGGAGACCTTATTGCTCTGTACAACTACCTGAGAGGAGGTTGTAGGGAGATGGGGGTAGGTCTCTTCTCACAAATAACAAATGACAGAAAAAGAGGACATGGTGTCAAGTTGCACCAGAAGAAGTTTAGACTCGATGTTAGGAAAAAAATTCTTCACAGAAAGGATGGTGAGCCATTGGAACAGACTGCCCAGGGAAGTGGTGAAATCACCATTCCTGGAAATGTTCAAAAACCTATTGACATGGAACTTGGGGATATAGTTTAGTGGTGAACATTGTAGTACCAGGTCAATAGCTGAACATGATGATCTTAGAGGCCTTTTCCAACAAGTCTATGATCCTATGTGTTTTGGGTACATGTTCTATATATCAGAAATGAAAGTAAAGCATCTCAGTGTTATGCTTTTAAAATTGCTAGGCTATATTTGTATTCTTTGGACTCCTATCTGCTTTTCTTTAGTTATTTATTTTTGGTCTTAGTTCTAATATGTACAGTGGAAATTAAATTACTTACACACCAAACATATTTTGTAAAATAAAATAAGATACTAAAAGCTCACATTTTTGCTATTTAAATACCATACAGTCAATCTTCATAAAAGAAAAAATTATTTTAAAGGAAAATGTCCAAAAGATGTAAATCCTTTGGTGCACTGAATCATTCAGGATTCCAGTGCAAAAGTGTTCTGTAATTCTTCAATTACTTTCATTACTCAGTTAAAGTGCCTAGGCATGTCAGGACAAAACAAATTTACAAAGGAAGCACCAATTTTGACATTTTTTATGTTCTGAATACTCACACTTCCAAGGTTATTATTCTCTTTATTCATGTGTTCATGTTGTGTACATTGTATTTATAGACTTCTAAAATCATGTGAATCTTCTAAAAATTGTGAAGCAAAAGTTGGCAAATACAAGCTCATTTTTACAAGTAATAAACATATGGGAATTTCTAGGAATAGGAAATAGAAGTTGACATATATATACATATATATTTATATATTTTATGGATAAACATACACACAAAAACAGTTACTTTGTATCAAAAGCACTTCAAATATGCATAAATTCACCTTGCATTACCGTAGCTACTTAGAGCAAAAAACCCAACAGTATTTCAATAAGGCCAAGTCTACAGTTTTGATCTATTTCATCAACATAAGTAAATAAAGGTTTAGAGAAAAAAAAAAGTCTTCCAGGAGAGAAAAGCTAATGTCTCTGTTAGGTATTACACATATCCTATACAGAATTGTCTTAGTTTAAAGACAAAATATTTGGTTGGGAACTCAAATGAAATTAACTCCCTGCCCTTTCACAGAGACAAAAATGCAAGGAGATGTAAGTGAAAAAGAAGAAGTTTACTAAAAGAAAATTGAAACAACTACAAAAACACAGGGGAAACAGTTTACCCACAAAGGGAGAAACTCACCCAACACATGGCACCCCTGCCCCTGGGAACAAAAGGGAAGCAAAAATGGCAGAGCGTCTTCCCACTAAACGACCCCCACCACTCACAGCACTGGTGCTGCCTCTTTGGCTTGGCTGCACTCGGGGTCTGCTGGGTTTTCTTCACACAGCTGGGGTGGGCAGGGAGCGATGTGGGGCCCAGCACAGTGGTCCAGCATGTTGGTCCCAGGGCGGTGAGCTGGCATTGAGGCGAGAATGAAGAGATGCATTAGTTCTGGGTGGGGAGGGCCCCCTTCAGATGACATAATACTATAAATATTCATTGCTAAAGTTCCCTGGTTTTGTAACCGTAACAAATATTTTTTTTTAAAAAAGAAAGAAGAAGAGAAAAAAAGGAAATAAATGAAACCAAACCTTAAATAAGGTGAATATTTTCTTCAATTTGGATGTTAAAAGCTGGCAAAACTCTAAATAATGATAAATTAGTTTGCACTAATAATTTTTTATCTGTATCATCACTTCTAAAAGGCAAGATGTTTGCTGATTCCCACATCTGTAAAAAAAATAGTGTTAAAATGCTTTGTTAAAGTGTTAACTTTGGCCTTTCCAATAAAGTTTATATATAACAAAGGAAGAAAAGTTTTTTAGACAGTGAAAATTTATCACTAAATATCTTCTCTACATTAAGGATTTTTAAATGCAGACTGGTCAGACATATTTTCTTTATTGTATATAGAAGGAGAAGTTACTGTTCAATTATTCATAGGCATTACCAATACAATAAAAACCACCAGAAATAACCCAAATATACAAAAACCAAACTAACCAACAACACCAAGAAAAGGACAAATAAGAAGCATTTTAATAAAATTCAATTTCACTTCCAGTATAATAAACAATTGTTCCTTCATCACAAATAAAACCAAAATAGAAAAATCTTTGCAGGAGCCTAGAATATTAAAATAAAAAAAAAAATCAAAACCGAAACAAAAGAAGAAAAGGATGAGTACCTAAGATACACCACAAAATGTTCCTGGAGTTGATGCCGAATTTTTGCCCCAAAAGGCACGGAGAAACTGCTTTAGAGACAAAGTTTGTTTCTTTAAAGCAGGAGGTATTTTATTGCAACGCGTTGGGAAGCTCTCCAGGTCGCCCTGGGCAAAAAGCTTCGTCGTGTATAATCAGCGTAGCTCTTTTATACAGTTTTCGAATATAGGATTACAACATAATCATGCATATTCATTAAATTGCAACATCTAGTTGTAATATTCATATGAAGGTGGAGTCTGGGCGGAGTCTTCAATTTGGGGAGATTTCACGGTGGGAGTTCCTGTTGCCTTCCTCTGGGCGGGGGTCGTGTGTGAGTCTTCCTCACTGTAAACTTCTGAACTTTCTTTCGATCTTCTCCTTTTAAGGCAGTTTTGGCAAACACAATAAGGTCAGGCTGACTTTTGGCTCATCCTACGATTTGCTGAGTTGCTATCTCTGTGAGGAATGCAGCTATCTCTCTAGGACTGCTCTAGGATTCGCTGAGTTGCTATGCCAAGGACTGCCTAGTTTCCTAATGTTAAGGTTTTGAAATTTCTCTTACAATTTTGTGTTAACCTTTTATGTTTCAAAGTTTTAAGTGAGTGGCTTCATGATCCTGCTCATCATCCCCCCTCCCCAATCCTGGGGGTTGTGTTCCCAGCTAGGGAGAACTTCCTGCTCCTTGGAGGTATCTATTTCATCAACATAAGTAAATAAAGATTTAGAGAAAAAAAAAAGTCTTCCAGGAGAGAAAAGCTAATGTCTCTGTTAGGTATTACACATATCCTATACAGAATTGTCTTAGTTTAAAAGACAAACATATTTGGTTGGGAACTCAAATGAAATTAACTCCCTGCCCTTTCACAGAGACAAAAATGCAAGGAGATGTAAGTGAAAAAGAAGAAGTTTACTAAAAGAAAATTGAAACAACTACAAAAACACAGGGGAAACAGTTTACCCACAAAGGGAGAAACTCACCCAACACGTGGCACCCCTGCCCCTGGGAACAAAAGGGAAGCAAAAATGGCAGAGCGTCTTCTCCACTAAACGTCCCCCACCACTCACGGCACTGGTGCTGCCTCTTTGGCTTGGCTGCACTTGGGGTCTGCTGGGTTTTCTCCACACAGCTGGGGTGGGCAGGGAGCGATGTGGGGCCCAGCACAGTGGTCCATCATGTTGGTCCCAGGGCGGTGAGCTGGCATTGAGGTGAGAATGAAGAGATGCATTAGTTCTGGGTGGGGAGGGCCCCCTTCAGATGACATAATACTATAAATATTCATTGCTAAAGTTCCCTGGTTTTGTAACCGTAACAAATTTTTTTTTTTAAGAAAGAAAGAAGAAGAGAAAAAAAGGAAATAAATGAAACCAAACCTTAAATAAGGTGAATATTTTCTTCAATTTTGATGTTAAAAACTGGCAAAACTCTAAATAATGATAAATTAGTTTGCACTAATAATTTTTTATCTGTATCATCACTTCTAAAAGGCGAGATGTTTGCTGATTCCCACATCTGTAAAAAAAATAGTGTTAAAATGCTTTGTTAAAGTGTTAACTTTGGCCTTTCCAATAAAGTTTATATATAACAAAGGAAGAAAAGTTTTTTAGACAGTGAAAATTTATCACTAAATATCTTCTCTACATTAAGGATTTTTAAATTCAGACTGGTCAGACATATTTTCTTTATTGTATATAGAAGGAGAAGTTACTGTTCAATTATTCATAGGCATCACCAATAAGATAAAAAACACCAGAAATTACCCAAATATACAAAAACCAAACTAACCAACAAAACTAAGAAAAGGACAAATAAGAAGCATTTTAATAAAATTCAATTTCACTTCCAGTATAATAAACAATTGTTCCTTCATCACAAATAAAACCAAAATAGAAAAATCTTTGCAGGAGCCAAGAATATTAAAATAAAAAAAAAAATCAAAACCAAAACAAAAGAAGAAAAGGATGAGTACCTAAGATACACTACAAAATGTTCCTGGAGTATTAAAGAATAATTGCACATAAAGTAATGCTTTAGATATGTTGAACTAATTAGGGTCTATGATAATGATTTGGTTTGGGGTTTTTAGATCCTTTTCTCAGTGAAGTGTAAGTATCACATGTGTCATAAAATTTTTATTTTAATGATCTGGTAATCTTCAAGGCAGGAAAGGCTACATCATTACTGTTCAATTCATAGTAATAAAAATACCATAAAAACTGCTGTTTAAGAACAGAATTGGTAAACTAAGTAGAACTACTGTTTCTTAAGTCATATTTTCATATAGTTCTGATTTCTTCTATAAGTAGTAATTCTCACTTAACTCATTTAATAAAAAAATATGAACTTCATGATATTTTCTAGAAACACTTGAGTCTATTTATTTACTTTTTCCTCTAATGTCCTGTCAATAGACAGTTGCATGTTTTTTCTTGAGTAACAGAACTTTTATAAAACAGACCAGTTTGAAAAATATAACGCTAGTATAAGCTTTATGTAAACCTACTTTTAAATGGAGTTGATAAAATAATTTACATAATATCCACTATGGTAACATAAAAACATCAAACTTATGTAAGAGTTTTCCCTGTTTAAAGGTTTTGGAAAAATACATATGTCCAACCTTGCCATTAAACAACCTATCATTACATTTCCAAAACTGATGATTTTGGAGGAGATAGGGAAACTAAGGGGAACCTTTCTGCTAGCAAGACAAAGCAGCAGAATTATTTTATAGTTGAATGAATAATTTTTAGCACTCTAAAACTGATTTTTAATTATCACTCTTCTAAACACTACCTTTAAAGATTTAGAATTCCCTAACTGATAACATATATATACACACACACATATATATACATACATACATTTCTATACAAAGAGTAGAATGACAATTCTTTTTCTTTGCTAGTGAACATTATCTGCCATTGTTTTATAACAACATGGTTATGAAATCCCAAACTAAGTGAAACAATGGAACAGAGAAATTACTTCTGAAAAAAATGTGGAAGATTAAAACACAGATAACACTAGAGAATAATGTGTCTTTATACACTTCCTGGTTCAATTATTTGGTCAGAAATAGCAAAGATAGTAATTAAAATTCCTTTAGCTTTATATTGACGTTTCAAGGTTTTCAATACTTCATAAGTTTACATTTGTAAAATGTATAGACAAAAATCCTAAGTTTTCTAAGAAAACTTAGGATTTTTGTCTATACATTTTACAAATGTCTTAATCTGCATAAACATGGAGTATGGACAAATTTTGCATTTGCTAAAATAATGTTCTCACCCTTAAGAATATACTTACATATGCCAATGCTCTCCGCTAAATTTGTGACCTCCCTTTATGGAAAATAATTTTTACTGTTACACTCCTTGGCTTCAGAGTAGAAGATTACTTTTGTTAATGTAAAGCAGAGTTATTACAGTCTAGTAAAGGTCTCCTAGTTATATACAGCTGGTTGAATCCTGACAGTATTAAGAATCTCTGGATATACTTGTGCATAAGCCTTTTCTCAGGGTTCAAGTGTTCACACATGTTGAATACGTCAGTGTTTGTGCATTCATGTCACCTTATGGATAGAGGTCTTCATAAGGTGTGTCTTGAGAAGGAAGAACCTTCAGTCTTTCTTCTCCAATAGGTGAGTAGTTATATTTTTTAGACTGCTGATTAGGGACCATTCGATTCTTAGGTATCTGCTAAGTTGGACACCTCTGTAGAGCTGGTGAACAGGAGCATAGAAAGCAGACTTTAGTTATTAGCAGACAACAGCAGAGGGCTGCAGCTGGGAGGCAGCACACCAATAGAGTTGGAGGGGTTCTTCCTCCCTAAGTGAAGATTTACAACCCTAATCTATAATATTTCATATTCAGGAGCTGGATAGGGGGTTTCGGTTAGTTTTTATGGAATATGTTGTACCACTTTCTACTGAGAACTGAAAATATTTCTAAAGCATAAAAAGTTAACAATATAACAGTAATAAAAAGACTAAGGTATCATTCAACTGTGACCATTTCAAGAAACTAAACATTCTATTTTTATTTCCCTCTTTCTAGAACAAACATTCTTATTTAAAAATAATCTGAGATCTTCCCTCTGAATTAATTTATTCTGGAAACCTTGCAAGAATAACCCAGTTATGTCAGGAAATGCACACACACATTAGGTAACTATTCCATATGTTTTCATCAACTGTTATTTTACATCAG